TACTCATCTGTACGTTGAATCTCTCCTTTGGGAAAAGAGGATTAAGAGGAAGCAATTAAAATCAGTCTCCCTCTTGCTACCTAGTGTAGGGTGTGAATTATTGCCAGACAGGAGAGGCTGGTATTTACTAAAAACCAGGAAATTCACACCGGCCTGTCAGGGAGACAACAGTTTTGGAAAGACAGCTGGCTGTTGTACTTCCAGTTTCTGTGGAGTCAAAAGGATTTATGAGGAGCTGTATTTCACTCTGAATTCTGCGTGGTATACAGAAACGCAGGAAACCCAAGCAGTCTGATTTTGTTAGCAAGCTCCAATGACTGGCAAGTTCAGAGGTATTTCATACGATAGAGCTAAACTGGAAAAAAGAAGTAGGAACATAACTCCTAGATATACCCTATTATGAAAGCTCTTTATTTCTAGCGGTTTTTATTTCTTCTATTCTTTTTTTTTCTTGTGTTTTGCTTACGTATTTCGGATGCTTGGAAACCTCATATTACCAGGTTAAGTTATACAACCAGTTCCATGCTTCAGGTGACATTGGTTATGCTCTGTGCTTTAAAACTCACTCCTGTTCCTTTTTTTTTTTTTTTTTTGATTAAATACAGTATTCTCTTTTTTTCTTCCTCTAAAAGCTGAGCGGCTGGCTTAAAGCAATGCATGTTTGTTGAACAATAATTTTAAGCGTGGTTACAATGTTTTGAATGGGCTCTATACTCTGCAGCAGCAGATGGGTAGTTTGTCCCAAGTGCCTGAATATGAATGGCAAATCTGAAGCACTGTAGTTCATATATAGTACTGAATTTCCTTTCTCATTCTTCCTTTCTGTTTGTGTCATGATATCTTGGGATAAGTAGACAGACAGTTCAACTGCCTGCATTGAAATTAGCTGAGAAGGACCATATGAGGCATCAGTATACCATCTGATCTTTCTTAGACCAGGTCCTCCACTTGTTTTATTCCAGTGGAAATACTGGAGGGATGTATAATGCCATAATTTGTTATAACCTCTATCTAATCAAATGTATGTGCAAATATAAATTCATGGATTTTAGGTTGTGTTCACTTAGAGTGCTATAAAAGAAAGAGCACAAAACAAAGTAGATGATTGACTGAAGAGTAGAAAAAACCTGGTTTATGTCACAAACAACAGAGATCAGTGACTGATGTCAGTGGGAACTTAACCAAGAGAGACGAATGAGTATTTGGGGATTTTAGTATTATTACTGGTTTGTTTAATTTTTCCTTAATCGTCTTTTACAAAGCAGTTAAATGAGAGCAGCCCAACACATTACACTTAATTCTCAGTTCTTCACATTCTGCTAAACTTTAGCCTTCTTCTCTCAAAGATTTTTACAAAAAACAAACAATTCCCCCACCCCAAAAAATCACAACTAATTTCTCCTCATTTCCTGGCAATGATTTACTACCACCATGCTCAAGTGCAATCTCAAATTACTTAAACTTCATTGTTTTTACAAAATATTCTGCAGAATTTGTAAGTTATGAATAATGCCATACATAATTAAGGCTCGACTGTGCTTGACAAGTGAATGAATGACATGCATTTTCTAATGCGTTACGCCAGTCTTTGCTTGGGGGGGTTGGCTTTTGTTTTATTGTGATCTCTCACTTTTTATTAAAACTTTTTGTTTCTCCTACTTCTTCAATTTTTCAACAATTTGGTGTATTCAGGAATTCACAATGTGTCTCCCAGGTTTTATTACCAATGAATCTGATTCAATAGCGTTATATGATTGAATGCTATGCCACTTACATTCTCAGAACAAACTTCAGAAGACGGGCCTGGATTCGTTTTGCACAATTTCTAAATTTGCTAGGAGGGAAGCTGAATTCTTTAAAACTAAGGTGGAAGCAATTGGACTTCTTGGCATGACGGACTGAAGTTGCAACAGGACCTGAGCAGAAAAATGGATTACCATGCAGTTAGCCTTGTGAGAGGTAGTTTCTTAGGAAATGTTTTCTTTGCTTCACTCTGGGGTGATTAGGAGAGAAAAAAAATATTGCACATCACCCTGTGGCGGATTCCCATATGTACTGCAGGATATCTGTGCGTCTCTCCTCTATGGTTCAAAGCATGAAAAAGCAAGATTGCTCCAAAATACACACATACCCTAAGACTTCCAAGCATCCTGGGTTGTTATGTTTTGAGAGTATGAGCTGAGAAAAGTCAGTACCATAGGAAAATTAATTTAACCCAAAGTCTGTCCCCAAGCTAGATTGGTTTTGTCGTCTCTGTTTAGAACAAAAGTTTGCCCATATCCAGTGTCAGATATTGCTTTAAGTAGCTTTGCTGCTCTGTGTCATGGACTCATAATGCTTCTGTCTTGGCTGAGCTTGGGTTTGATTTTGATTTCATAGCCTTTGTTTTATCTGAAAAGTTGATCCTATGAAGAGTAGAAAAAATGAAGTCTAGTTTTGTCTGCATTGTATCTTATTTTGATTTTTTGTTGCTATCCAGTAAGTTATGAAATATTTCTATGATTAGCACACTCCATAGCTCTCTGCAGTTTGGATCCTCTGGTGTCCAATAGACAATTTTTTTTTCAGACCAAATGCAACTTCTCTCCTCTTTCAATTAAATTCCTAGAAACTTAATACTTTTGTGCCAACTGCACTCTGCCAGTTTTGATTGAATGGTAGATGGTTAAAGGGTTATGAAGGGTAGGGGTGGAGGAGAAAGGAGGAAACACAGGACAACACACAGATACTGTGTTTGTATAAATGCAGTTTCTCTGAACTTAGTATATGGTCTCCAAAAAGCATGTAATATTTGAGTGAAATTTGTATTTTCTTAAGAATTTAAAGTAATTTGATATTTTCTGGCTTATGTATAATTACCTTTAAAGTTCTAGCTCCCTTCCTTGCCTTCTTCCCCAGAAAAGCCACTTCCTTTTCAAGGACTTCTTACCTGAAGAACTTTGAACTGTAGAGAACTTGCATACATTGAAGCGGGGGAGTGAATGAGTTTCCCTTGTTCTTTTGCTAAAAAGCCAAAAGAAAAGTTTACAGGATTAAGTCATTAGTACTTGTCCCTCTTAGAAGAGAGGACCTATCCAGTTTTGCATAGTGCCATTTATGACTCAGTTTTTCTTGGCTCAGGAAGCCACTGTATGTCTATCCGAATGTGCAGAAAATCAAGCAAAGGTGTCATGATGCCTGCGTGGATGAACAAGTTGCTCCCGACAAAGCTCAGTCAAAAAAAGTGTCAGAAGGGACAGGTTACCCCCAAGAAGCATAGAGACCCTGTCGGAACATGCAGGGGTGGGATTAGGAAAGCCAAAGCTCACCTGCAGTTCATTCTGACAAGGGTTGTGAAGGGCAAGAAAGGTTTCTACAGATATATCAGCAGTGAAAGGCAAACTAGGGGAAGTGTTGGCCTGCTGCTGAATGGGGCAGGCACACTGATGACATGGAAAAGGCTGAGGTAATCAGTGTTTTCTTTTTCTCAGTCTTTACTGATAAGACTGAACTTCAGGAATCCCAGGTCCCTGAGACCTGTGGGAAAGTCTAGAGATCAGACGGTCTTTGGTGGAGGAGGATCAGGTCAGGGAATATTTAAACAAATTGGGCATATACAAGGCCATGAGATGTGATGAGGGGCGCACCAATGACTGCTGAGGGAGCATGGCCAATGTCATTGTAAGGCCACTCTGGATTATCTTTGAAAGGTCATGGTGACTGGGAGAGGTCCCTGAGAGAAAGAAAATGTCAGTCCTGTATAAAGAAGACGTGCAGCTGCTGGAACGAGTCCAGCGAAGGACCACAAAGATGATTAAGGGACTGGAGCATCTCTCATCTGAGGAGAGTCTGAAAGAGCTGGGACTGTTTAGCCTGGAGAAGAAAAGGCTCCAGGGAGCTCTTATCGGTGTTTATAAATGCCTGATGGGAAGGAGTAAAGAAGACAAAGACAATCTCTTCTCACTGATATCCAGTGACAGAACCAAAGGCAGCAGGCACAAACTGAGTTACAGGAAATTCCATTTAAGCATAAGAAAAACTTTTTTACTCTGAGAGTGGTCAAACACTGGAACAGGTTGCCCAGAGAGCTTGTGGAGTCTCCACCCTTGCAGATTTACAAACCTGATCGGATGCAGTTCTCAGCAACCTGCCTGAGCTGACCCTACTCTGAGCAGGGCGAGGTGAACTAGACCATCTCCATACGTCCTGTCAACCTCATCCATTCTGTGATTCTGTGACTTTAACAGCTGAACAAAATGCATCCTTCCTGAATATCTTCTTTACGCTCTACTAATGCCTTTCTGGTGGTGCTTTCAGCATTATCTCATTGCTAGATTAATTGTTTCCATTAAAGCCATTCATGAAGTTAACATATTCTCACATTTACTCTTGCGTATCATAGGTGTTCAGGAATGAGGGAGTCAGTGGCAATATACTATGTTTTAACTAAGAAAATTTCTGTGCTGCATCTAGTTCCCTTTCTTCCTTTTTTTTTTTTTTTTTACATTTGAAAAGGTATTCATGAATGCATTTTTCAAATAGCTGTCCTGATTGCCCCAATGATATGAATTCAGGGTGTTTTGTTTTTTGTTTTTTTTTTATCAGCTCTCCATCAATTTATAAATAGTCGTTTATCAGAAGGATACTATGCTGAAAGACCTGTTCATTTGCTTTTTTTAAAATAAGAATTTGCACTCTGGGATGAATGATCTGCATCAAAAACACTTTTTTAGAAATCGAATGGTTTATTGCTGTTGTTTTTAATGTTCTTTTTTTATTCTCTTAGTGATCCACAATTCTGAGAAGCAACTGTATCGTCTAATCATTCTACTTGTTTCTTACAGAAGGCGCAAGTCAACTAGCGGACTTCGATCCAGCTAAGCACGGCTTTGTTTAAGGGAATTTCTGATTTACTATGGCAGCGCTGTAAATTTTTCTTTTAAACCTACACGGACAAGGTTCTAGGGGGTTTGTTTGGCTTTATCCATTCGACATTAATGTTAAAACTTCTGTCTTTTCAGAGCGACATGCTGGATGTGAACCAGATCATTAAAGACCTGGCCTCCATGGTGCACGAGCAAGGAGACACAATAGGTAGGCATCACTGCTAAAATACCTGCTTTATTACCATCCTGTACGGTTCCACGTTGATGCTGCATGTTGCCTAGTGAGAAACTTGGTTGATGTTGTGTTTATTTTTCCTGCGTCTCGGGCGTTTTGTTCACACAGCGCTGACAGATCTGACAAGCTGCCCTTTGTAATAGGGTTCTCATGTTTGGGATAGTTAGCTGATATGCCTAGCATAAAATAGGCTTTGCTGTGAGAATAATCCATTCACTTCTGACTGTGAAAAGGAATTGGGAGAATATATAGCATTAACTAGCGAAGCAATTCTTCCTTTCTACGTGGATTTGTAATCAAAAAAAAAAAACCAAAAAAAAACCCAATAATAGTAGCAGTTATCATTGCAGATATTGATGGTGGTGGAGAAAATTAAGCAGTTTGCTTCTCCTAAATGGAATTTCCTTTCCACATTACAGCATATGTCTGATTAAATTTACAGTAGCCTAACATCATAATATGTTCACATACATAGTTGGAAATTTCTGCCCATTAGTTGATCTCCTCTTTTTCTCCAGTTATCACTGACTAGGAGCATGGTGGAGGAAACCTGGGAAGAGGCGGGATGAGAGAAATTGCTATTATTATCTTTCATCTGCAGCCCATCTCTGACAGGCACCACTTTTCATGAATAGAGGGATAAAATACAGTAGATCTACTCCTTTTAAAATCCCCTGACCTTTATATTTTCCACTGCTATCTTCTGATGCAGCTAAGAACAGTCAGATAATTTTCTGTGTCTCTTTATTTTACCAGGTGTGTATGATGATACTGTGAAGTGCTTTAGAGGCAACTGGCCACTTCCAAATTTGAGATCTAACAGTCTCAAAGCAATGTTGAGGGATCTAAATACCGGAGAAGCAAGTTTTATGGAGATATTGCTAACCCAAAGTGCTCATTTGGAGTTCTCACTGGAGTTTGTGGGGGCTGTATCCGGATAGGCATATGCAAATCATAAAAGAAGAAAAGCTTCTCTGCTGTTCATTAATTACTCTAAAATTGTTTGCCAAGCCCATTCCTTTGCAAGTTTGCAGTAACATCAGGCATCTCCCTTCACAATGAAATGAGCTTGCTACATCACACTGAGAAACATCACTCAGGCTCACAGGCGCAGAACAAAAGCGACATAATATGTAAAAACAATTCTTTTTTGTTTTATTTTCTTCTTCTTTTTTTTTCCCCTTTTTTTTTTTTTTTTAGATTTATGCTTCTCAGACAGCTCATTTTTGTACATGGATAACTTTGGAGTCTGATTCAGCTTCCAAAATCACATCAAATGTTGATGCCTTAAGGGACGTCACAACATATCAGTTAGCTTCAAGACCTTTGTAACCCCTTTCATTAAGGAACATATATTATATTATTTTTTAGATGTTACCCATGTGTAGAAGTGACCCCAATATTAACTTACCTATGAGAAAAAGTTATATTGAGTTGGACGTTTTGTCTTTATGCCAGCCCATTGCTTTAGTTGCTTTCATATCTGAGATGTTCTTTCTTCTGCCTGTTGCACTGTGGCAGATTTTTCCAGTTTCTTTAGGAGTAGCTTTCCACCCTAGCAGCCAGTAAAGATGTTTCCCCAACCAATTGATGAGAGGTCCCACAGTTTATCTTTTGACATTCATGTTACACAGAAGTAGGAGGGATTAAGAACCAGGAGGTGAAGGAAGTCGAAACATCCACAGTGGAAGTTCAGCAGCAATTATGATGAGAGACAGTTCTCGTGGCGCTTGTTTTTTTTTTTTTTTTTTTTTTTTTAATTTGTTCCTTTTTTTTTTTTTTTTAATGTTTTTCTCTTATATGTGTGAAATGAAAGCTCTGTGTGTGCTCAAGTTATTGGAAAACATAGGGGAAATGCACATCCGGGGAATGTGAAGTGCCCCACTCAGCAGAAGACAACCAGGATTATAGAGCAAACCACCCTCTTGTTCACCCTGAACGCGGGGGATATCAATGGGAAAAGCTTACTTTTTGAAGATTCTTAAAAGTAGTTTTTCTGCCGCATGGGCCAGTTCCTTAATGAATACATCCTTAACGCTCCCTAGGGAAGAGATGGATTTCTACCATGCAGGAAGAGAATGGGTGAGGGGAAATGCGGAGTCAGGGCAGTGCATCTCTGCTGTTTTACATATTCTGCAAATAAACCGCCATGCCTGGTTTCCTAGTCATAGCATCTTTCTGATGTGAATATTTAACTAAGGATTACAGTATCAGCGAGTCCAAGCCCTTGAAGTCAGAACAAGTCAGTGGCCTAGGTTACCTCTGAATCCCCAGAAAGAGTCTTTTCAACAGTCTTACAACAGCCCTTGGCAAAAGCAGCCCTACGCAGCTTCAGCACAAACGCAGGGAGAAGGATGTTTTCTTCCCCTTGCCAAATCCTATCATCTCATGCATTTTCTGTCCCAGTCTCAGTCCAGTGTTATTCGTGTTGTTCCTTTCTGACCCTGATCCCTTTAGTCAAGTTTCTCCACTGCATAACTGACCAAATTCTCTCCAATAAATTCCAGATAAAGAAAACGAGCAATATGAAGTATGGGCACAAACTCGTCCCATAAAATTAACATATTATCTTATTAATTAGCATATAAATGCCCACCCTTTGGTACTTTACTAGAAATCAACCTCAGCATGCTGCGATGAAACAGAAGTATCACACCAGAACACATCTGCTGCACAGCTGATTGCTTCTACTTCCAACAGAAGAACAATTACTCAAGGCTCAAGGAAAAATCACTACATTGGTGCCCTCCTTTGATGCACCTCTGCCTCCAGAGCAGCATGGCTGAAGCAAGACAAGCGAGCCCATTCACACGGGACTGAAGTGTTGGTGGAAAAGGTTACTAAACTTTACCACACTTTTTGAGAGCTCTAACAAGGACCCCTGAGGGGATCTGAAGCACAAGTGACAAGATCTCCACGAGGTAGCAAGGAAAGAACTTGGAGAGCGTGAAGAAGCTGTGGCTGGAACTGGGCCATCTCCACTGATAAACTTTACACCCATGGAGAAAATGGCAGCAGAAGAGTTCTTCAGCCAAACATCCAAGTCAAGGATTAAAGAATTGAAACCTTGAGAAGTAAATTACCTTGGGGGTAATTGCTACAAGCGACAGTCCTCATTTCTCTGCTCACAGTTACCCACACAACTGAACCACATGGGCCTGAGAAGCTTGAAATGTTCCCAATGTTTGCTACTGAATGACGTTGTTTTACATGTGTGGGCCTGTTCTGCCCTTGCCCGTGCTGGGATAAATAGACATAATTCCATGAAATCAATTTTAAAATTGGTTTTAGGGAGAGGAGAATCAGTACTTAAATCACCAGTTCTTCTGAAGGGTGCATCAACAACACCGTTGCCATTATTTGTATTAGTACCTGGTTAAGGCCGGTGAATGTTTGTCCACGTCTGTGGGCGTTTGTTTGTCTTGTATTAGAGAATAATGATTACCTGAATAATGTAATCGTTGCATTATTTTTGCCCATGGCAAAAGAAAACGCTAGGAGTTTTTTCCTCCTCTTTGCAAGAGCTATTTTTCTCTCCTGCCTGTGTATATTAACTTATTAGCTGTGTCAAAATAATATAGAAGATCTACATCCCTTATTTAAACTATTCCAATTCATCTTTCACCGGTTATATCACTGCTTGTAGCTTCATCACTTTTCTTAAAGCCACAAGGAAGAATCCATGTGGTTCTGAAAGCATTTTACACATTAAAAAAAGTTAGGTTTACACATTAAAAAAGTCATATTTCTTCCTCTGTTGGACGTTTTTGTAACCAGCTGCCAGTGCGTCTGTAACCTCGCTACCTCCCTAAAACAGCAAGAGCTCCCAGGATCACATACTTGCCACTTACTTTAGGATTACAGCACCGGAGACACAGGAGCTATTTTATCACTGAACTGCTGAGCTCTCTACCTCTTTGTCCAGACCAAAGGTGTGCAAATCTGTATTTGCACAGCAGAGCCCACTGGCTGGAAGAAGACCCTATTGCATGAAGAAAAGTACTTTCTTTTTCTTCCATTCCTTAAGCAAGCTTAGATCTTGGTGCTACTAACCTTTCACTTCACTCTTGAAGTCTGGGCATTTTAAATTTGGAAATTATGAGGTTTATGGCAAAGAAACTTCATAATATAATCTAAAGTGTATGATCTTCCAATGTATAGACTTCAGCACATGGGGCTTGTCAGGCTAGAGCGCACAGACCTGCCCCAAGCTAAAGATACAGCTGGTCCTTTCCTTCAATCTGTAGAGAACTTGAAAGGGCCAATATAGTCCATCCTCAAGCAGTGCTGTTGTTCACTGACATACCACATTGTTATTTATCGCGTCATCATCATAATACTAAGCCTCCTTCAAAGGAAAATATATTTCCATGAATGTAAATGTGTTACTTATTTTGGAAACTTTGGGATGTTTTCTTCTTTTCAGTGAAATCAGCTCTGCTTTGCCACTATTGTCTCCTGCGTTATCGTTATTATCTTTCTAACCTGGAGTTTGATTTAACACACAGACTCTCTTAAGAGTCGGGGGGGAAAGAGGGAGGTCATTGGCACCCTTCCACATGTGTCCTTTTCCAGTCTGAGTGATCTAATGGCAATGCGAAGAGTCCGTTGTCAAAAACGCACAACTGCACAAATACAAATGCACAAATACAAGATGGGAAATTATTCAGCTGGAGCTTTAATTAGGCTCTCCTGAGTTATGTGCCTCAGCTGGGACATCTGCAGAAAATAATGAACACATCTTGAGAATAGTCCCTGAATACCTGAATGCAACAGCTCTGATATCCACATTCAGCTGAAAGAGGTCTGCAGACTCTCTCTTTTGACAAAGTTTCCTAAGTGATGTCAGAGGAGACTATTATGTGAATGGGTACATTTAAGTTCTTAGTGGTTTCTGATGAAACAAGAAATCTTCTCCTGGCTCTCTTGATTTCAACCACTTGTTGGGACGTGGAATTGCATGTCAGTGTGAA